GAAATATATTAGTTCATTTACTTCACTCTGTAAAATTATACTTGTTATTGTAACTAATTGTAACTGTTTAGGTGAAGAATAATTTGAAAACTGAAGGAGCCATTAAAGACTTCAATGGAATTAAAATTACCAATTTGTAATCAGACTTAAATGAGACAGCAGGTTTAAATCTTTACTGTATCATATAGTGATTCTTAATAGTAGAAACATGTTGGCTTTTGTCTGTGTTTTCTAAAGCTGGTGCTATGTCTCCCTGCTGCTTCTTCACAGATTGTGGCTTTCTTGTTTTATTTTAATAGTGTTAATGGAACATGCCAACAAAAGGCTGCTTGGCAATATTTCAGTCACGGAAAATATTTCTAAGCAAAACCAGACTTACACAAATGTTTAATATGTTTAAGATACTGCATAAGTTAAAAATCAAGTCTGTAAATTCAATTGCATTGTTTGTCTTTGCAGCAGTTACGTTAGCCATTGTACTGCTGTAATAGAGTATTATAAAGGTTCTTCCCCTTTCTAAAATAAAATCAAATTTATATTTTCCAGAAGCAGCAAGTAATTAAATTGTGGATTTTTTGTTAAAAGAAATTACCTGGCATTCTGCAGTTATTGCCGTCTGCAACTTAGAATCTTTGCTTTATTCTTTAAAATCCTCTTTTAGAAGTGGCTACTAAGTTTTTAAGTGTTATTCAACTTGCTCTGCTTTTGGTAGAAAATATCACTGTTACTGCTTTTGGGATTGGCAGATTAGCTGTTTCCACAAATTATGTTTTCACCATAATTTCTGAAAACAGCTGTGTCTGTAGTTATTATAACTGGAAGTCCAAATGTGACTTTTCTCCTGATGTTCTCCTAAATGGATGAAGCACTGCACAAATGCATAAAATATTTCAGTTTGCCTGTATGTCATTCCATTGACGTTATTAAATGCCACAAGACTCACCCCAGAAAAAGGCCAGTGCAAGTTGCCAACAGAGGTCTGTTAGATATATGTTGTAAAAATGCAATATAAATAAAGTTGTGTTAATTTTGAAGGACCTCACAGGAACACCAGGACTGGAAGGGCATTTGAGATGATCAAATCTAGTCCCATGCTACCTTAGGTAACCAAGTAATGTAATACACTTTATAAGCCAGTCAAGAACCATGTTATAAATAGAGATGTTTTTACTTACTGGGACTTACTGTCTCTTTCAGAATCTCACTGCTCTGATGCTTGTGAATGCCTGTTGCAATTCTAGCTTTCACGTGTTCCTGACCAATTTATTCTAATTTGTTCTTATGCCTGAATTGCCTCTTAGCATCAATAGCTCTTTTTACTTTAGGACATTTAAATAGTATGTTTAATGATAGTAATCATCTTGAAACTCTGCTAGACTAGATTTGTTATTTCATGTCTGTTTCTGGCAGTAGTGCAAGTTTAGGTTGCTATTGACACTTTTTACTTTACTTATACTTTGTGTAGGCCAACACAGCTGTTTTGAAGTCACTGATCAAATGGATGATGGCACTCATTAGCTGGTAAAGGCTGTCACTCCTGGATGTTTTTGGTCCACTTTCTTTTTCACCTATATGCTGTCCTGAATATTTTCTAAGTATTACCCTAGCAACAATTGTGCTGATGCCATTATGGAGTGAGGTACAGAGGCAGAAATGAGCAATGGAGGAAGGAGCACAGACAGAAATGTCTTAAGGCAATACTGTTGCTGGATGTGAGCCTTTTACTTAATCCAGGCTTCTTCAGATACCTCTAATGTTCTACACTACACTACTACTACAGAGAAAACTGAGTGTGATGGCTGAAGTAGTTTGAACCAAACAGTTCATTAGCAACAGCCTATGCAAGGCAACATCCTTCCATCTAATTTAAACTGAGTCAACTTCTGATTGCTCAGTGCAAACAGTGGTTGGCTGTTCTATAATGTTGGTGCTGTTTACCAAAAGCAAGTTTAAAATATTATTTGTACCTGCTTGGTTCAGTGTTTGAAGACAGCTCTTTGCTGTTGCATCTGGTTCCTAGCATTATTAATAGAACTTATATTCCAGTTATATATCTGGAAAGTTAAAAGTTCCCTCAGTGATGCAATTTAATATTTCTCTCTAATAACTTGACAGATGTAACTGCAGAGTATTTTTAAGTTTCATACTATTTTAATTATACTCTCCTTCCATATTTCTTTGTAGTCTATTTATAATTTTTGATCTAGACATTGTTTCTTTGTTTTGTATTGTTATTTTGTTATTATTTATATTTTAAAGTCATTAAAATATTGCAGTCTGATACATGGAGTTTTGGGAATTTATTTGTTTGTTTGTTTGTTTATTATAGTTTTATGTAGATAAATAATTGAAAATACTAGGCCATGAAAGAAATGGCCAAGATTTCACCTGTTCATATACATATATATATACTTGCACAGTTTTTTATCAAGCCAATGTCAGTTAATATGGTTCTTAGTACAGCCTTAGTGACTGGTAGCAAGGTAACAGTACGCCTATAAATGATTATTTGAAGAATCATGTGTAGCAACTGATTTTACATGAAATGTTATATCACGGTTTTTGAACGCCCACCATCTTATTTGGTCAATTAGAAAAACTTTCTGATTTGTACTGCCTTTTTTGATCTACATAAATGACTGCATCTTCCTATCAGCAGAAGTAAACAAGGTACCAGCATTTCAAAACTAGGCAGTTCTGTGTTTTCTCGTTTCTAATAGGTAGTCAACAATTTGCTGGTATTTGTGGCAATAATTTATACAGCTCTCAAATTTTTATATATGTGTGTGTGTGTGTGTGTGTGTGTCTTAATTAAACTAGCCGATATACTAAGAAAATCAGGTGGCTTATTTTTTAAGTATTTAAAAATGGTGTTCTCTAGTAATCGGAGACCCTACATTCCAGTTCATGAACTCAGTCCAACTTTAATTATTAATAAATCTTGTTGGGCAGGCTGAAATGGATGTAATATGTTGGTGCTGTGACTGTTTTAGTGAGTTTTTTTCGGATGATATGCAGTTGGTCAGTGGCAGGGCTGTCTGCATTTCTAGGTGAAGATACTGAACAACCGAAAGCAGTAGATTCTTTTTAAAAAGAATATCTTGTTAGTATAGTTCACTTTAGCATACTTTTATGTTGCTCAGGCTGTTTTTCTTTGACTGCAGTTTACTTTTATTTTGACTTCAGTTTGAAACACTGTCTAGTCTTTCTGATGTTCTTGGGTATGGGTGATGTGGGGTAGAGTTCAGAGCCATCAACGTATTTCTAAGGAGCTTCCCCTTTACCTCCCAAGAGGTTTAACCAGACCTGTGCTAGCAATGTGTGAAAAACTAGACACAGGGCAGTCCACTGAGAATCTGTTCATGACTTAATGAAATACTGATCTTTAATGGATTTGTAGATTCAGGGTAGAGTTCAGTAGTTTGGGGATGGGAAACTAACACATTCCAAGAATGTTATTAGTTAAGCTTTTGCTTTCATGACAGCAGCTTCATTCATCCTAAACTTCTAATTGAAATTCAAAGTTTGAGTAGTCCAGGGGAGAAGTTACTAAAGCCTAAGTGCCAGAACTCAGTTGGTATCAGAGAAAAAGAACAGTGGTGGAACAAATGTTCTTTATTCACATTTCATTTCAAAGTGAAATCGTCAGTATTCTGGACATTGATGTTTCTGTATGCCACTAAAGGGAAAAGTAAACAACTTACCTACACTGGCATGGGAAGATTTGAAGAATTTGTGGTAACAAGGAAAATAAAGTTTCAACAAAAAGCATAGGTAGAAATGTTTTCTTGTGTTTTTGCCTTACATCAAATAATTTTGGTTAGGCTATTTCTAGAGAAATTCTGTTATAGAATTGGAAGACTTCTGACAAAAAGTGTTGCCTTCCTTCAAATTGAAGCCATGCATGCAGCCCTTTTCTCTCTGTTGGCGTGTCACTCTTCTGCTTTGTTATTCCTTCAGGCTAAAATTGGCTGTCTTTTATGCATGCACCATGCATTGTATGCCAAAACCTCTCTGTGCACTTATGCACATACCAGACAGGTTTTACAATAAAATCAATACAGGTACAATGGTTAGTGTTAAGAGAAAAAGTTACTTAATGTAAAACAGTGTTAAGTAAACATCCCTTTATTAGCAAGATCTCTGTGTATTTCTTTAGTTATGGTAGAAAATTTTTAAGTTGTCATTATTACCATAACAACCTGTGATATTTTTTTTTTTTATTATGTGGCTGAAATAGGAAGACTGATAGTAAGTCTCTGACAGCCAGGGATCCTCCTGTGATAGTAAACACTGCAGCACGTTTGACTACTAAATGCAAGCTTAATTTTAAAGAAGCTGAAATACTGTTTAATAGAACTATAGTTGATAGATTATGAATACATAAATCATAGTAAAGGAATGTACCTCTTCTGGTAAAAGAGTGAAACTATCTATTTAAAATCAACACAATTAAAGGAATAAATTTGCAAGTGAGTAACAACTAGAAGGTTTCCTCCTATGCTGATTATATGGCAGACATCCTGTATAAATACAAAATAATTTGCTATAATGAATACTATTAAGTGTTATTTTTATGTCTTATTTTCTGCAACTTTGCAATTCTTGTTCTTTGTCATCTACAAATCACTATGTGGGTTTTATTCATTACTTTAAAAATGTTAGTACTAGATAATGATACAGATACAATAACATTATTCACTGATGGTTCAAGTACTGCCTATTTCTGTTGAGTCCAGTAGCTGCAATGCTGTTTTCCTTAGAAGGTTGAGTCATAATTTAATCTGTACGGTTTTGTCAATACCGAAGTTTTTGTCCCTATTAGTCACACCAGTGGAGAAGGTAGAAGATAGATTTATTTTAAAATTAGACTTAATTAAGTTAATAGCTCTAAAAAGGATTTTGTTCTTCCTTCTAAAAATATTTAGATGCTGTTTTTTTAATGTTTGCTATAAACTGAATTGGAATCTTACTTGCAAAAATAATTTTTATACTTTCAGGTCCATTGGACCACGGCTAGTGTTGAGAATGACATTAGGAGCAGAAATTACTAGCCAGCTCAGGGCTTCTTCATACATAGCATCAGGACGAAATCTTTTGAGATGGGACCTGTCACCAGAGGAAATTAGAACAAGAGCAGAAGAACTAATCAGGAAGACAAAGCATGTGTATGACACTGTCGGGATGCTTGAAACTGAAGAAGTAACACTCGAAAATACTGTACAGGCTTTGGCAGATATAGAAGTGGAATATGCAGGTTAGTGTATTTTCTTTATTTCTTTGCATAAGACATTCCATCTGCACGTGAGGAAACACTGAAAGAAAATAGTTGTTGCTTCCAATTCTGATCCCTGCTGTTTTTCTGTAGAATGTGTAGAGGCCTCTCAAGTGTCCTCTGGTCCTAATAATCTTGCAGGGCCTGCCAGAGAGCTGCCGTAGTCACCTGTTTTGGTTTTGCATGTGAAGCTCCACACAGTTACATTTCCAACTGTGTACAGCTGCCAGGGGACACTGCAGCAGTGTAGGCTGTGGATTGCATAGTGCATTGCATGTGGTAAGTAGTGTTTTTTTCAGACACTACGGAATCTGACACGGGCAAGTTGAATGGAGTCATGGAAATGTTGATAAACTGCTACTGGTGAAAATGTGATGATGAGGAAATTTTGAATGTGCTATTGAAAGAAGACTTCTTTGCTTGCTCACATTTAAATTGTGGCCTGTGAGGTCTTGAAGAATCCGGGGAGAGGTTGGTCGTGCAGTCACATCTAGATTGTTCTGCCATACCAACATATGGGTTTAATGGTCAAACACAGGTTATTCAGTTAATTCGTTAATAATTGTCAGAGGAGATGGGTAAAATACAAGCTGCATATTGGGTGTCTTTGTTGAGGAAAACCTTTCAGATGGTGGCCGCATTACTTATAAAACAGTGAGTGTAATAGATGTCAAATTTTTTAAAATACTCTAAAAAATCTACAGTAGCCAAAGAGGTGCTAGAAACAGCCACCTTGGCTTGGAGCAAAATCTTCGACTAGCAAAAAGGCAAGGCTGGCATCTCAAATTATTATACTGTAATATTAGTCTGGATTTCACATTACATAAAACTGCACATCAGTGAACTGGCTGGGATTTATTCTGGCATACTCAGAAAGACAATAATCTTCATTTAAAAAACCCGCTGCCAGATTCAGCTTTAGTTGTACCAATATACCAAGTTGGTATAACTATTGTAAATCTTTTAACCAAAAGGATTTATTGAAGGAAAACCTGTGTTTGACTCAGAAAACAGTGGCAATCAGCTTTTCAGCATAGCCATGAAGACTTGATGGAAGATGCACATTTTTCACTATATAATATTGCAGCAGTGGGTCGCATTTAAGCTTCTAATGCTAATCCTCAAAGCTGTATATGAAATAATCATGACCTGCTCTCAAACAGCCCATGATATATGAGATGGATGTATTACCACACCAAGACTTCCATACGAACCTTGGAATTTAAGGCCTCTGTGTCACTTTCACATAAAAATTCTATCCTGGTAACTGCAATTTATTATCTGAAAAGACAGAGATGACAATAGACCTTAAATTTCACTTGGAAGCTACCGAAACTCACTTTATTTGAAACATCTCGGCATAAGGGCAGGAGGTGATGGGGAAGCTTCCTATTGGACTTCAAGAAGAATTACATACCCGTGGTTGCATTTCTAAATCTGTCTCGGGGCTTGATAAAATGACTGCACATCACATAAAATTACAAAGCTTTTAATCAACCTAATCTGTTGTTACTCTAAAATCTACTTTTGGAAAGGTAGATGGTAGAGACACTATAATTAGATTTTTAATGAAGGAAATGAATTTCTATTTTAAGATTTCTATTCAATGTCATTATAAGATGTAATATTCCTTTAATGGCCAGGATTTATTTAATCTCAAAAGTATATTCTAAAAAAGTAGTATTACTCAGCTTCCAATCTCTAGAAGTTCAGAATGCATGGACAGCATCTTTCCTGTTTGCCATGTTGTTTCCCTTAAACATAGAAGACTACAGTACATGGGGATTTGACACTGTGCTCATAATAATGTAAAAATAACTTCAGGACAGATGGGCATGTTTGAAAGATTCAGAGCTTCTGACTTCAATGCTAACATGGAAGCATCTGTGCCAGCTACTAAATGTCAGTCTTCACTTACATGACTTTTGGAAGATGGAGTGTTTCTAATGTATTTATATACCATTCAGCTGATTTTCTAGATGATGAGATAATTAGGCTTGGGGTTTAGAAGTCTTCTGTAAAGTGTTTATTTGTTACAATGGTGTATGATTTTGTTCTTTCACCCATTCAGTTTTATATTACCTGTAATCATTTTATTTGCTATATGTGTCAGGTTGCTTTGGATACTTTCTTCTTATGTCTTTTATAAATGTCATAAGAGGGAAAGTTCTTTATCCTTAACGCACTTCTATCCTTCTGTGTTCATGGCCTCTTATTTAAACAGTGGAAAGAAGCATGTTGGATTTTCCCCAGCACGTCTCCCCTGACAAAGAGATACGCTTAGCAAGTACAGAAGCTGACAAAAAACTGTCAAATTTTGATGTGGAGATGAGCATGAGAGAAGACGTATTTCAGAAGATTGTTTATTTACAGGTAAGTATGTCTGCATAAATTGTGACATGTATCTAAATTTATCTAAAATTAATTGCCATACGCAATGCTTTTCAAGATGACTGTTTCCTCTGTGTCTGTGCCACTCAAATCTTTCTAGTGGGACAGTTATACAACAGAAAACGGCGTATCATGCTCTTCCTACTCCTTGCCTCTCAAGTCTAGATTCGTGTATCCTCTCTCTCCATTGCAATAGGTTTGACTTTTGTCTAGTCTTCCAAAGAACTGATACAAGGAATCTAAACTAAAAGAGGGAAACCTATTAGGAAAGAAATGTTTTGTTTTCTACTGGCTGAGCTCATTCCAAGACGGAAAGAAGAGGCAATATAGCAGTGTACTTACATTGGCTTATACTGCTTTTGAATTTGTGTCCAAAATTCTGCTTTATTGAAAAAGTTGAGAATTTTAAATTTAAAAGTTATTTTAAATTGTGAAGGTTAATGAGAACATATAAATGAGATTGACCTCTGAAATTTGCATTTTTTATTAGCTAATTTTGGATAAACATTGTATCCTCTTTTTCATCTATATCTTCAGCCACAAAATAAAACTACATTAAAAGATGCATTTACTGTTGAACTAGTTTGTGTCCCTTTTGTGTTTCTGTTTAGCTTCTGTTTTAATTGAGCACCTGTAGTTATATCTTATTCTTCATTTGTACTGTTTATTTTGTAGCTCAAACAGAAAGAATATTTGTTTTTGTTCCAATATGTCTGGTGACGTTTAGTAATAATTTTCTTAAAAGTGCAATATAAGGATAATGCAAGAAAGCTATCCAATGTGATACTAAAAAAAAGAAATTATTTTCTATGTTTTATATGTAAATTTTTCCTATCAACCCCACTGTTTTTTAATCTTCTTAGAATGCTCATAAGATATTGGAGCACTATTTCTTGGAGTCACCATTTGTGTTTTTTGCAGGTTTGACTGGGAATCAGAATAATGCTCGCAGAACCATACTAAAATGCCTTCCATGACCATTGTTTTCTTTTGCTGTGTTTTCCGGGGAAATTTTCAGGTGTTCTCATTTAGCTGGGTATTCCTGTTACATGTTTGTGGAAGTATATAATAACCTCATTTGGAGTATGTTCTGTTGTGTGTTGGCAGATAGTGCCTTGTGTTGATTTTTTCCCCCTGGTACTTTATGTTGATTTGTTTTTCTTCATCCCCTGCTCTGTTACTAGTAATTAAATGGATTGATTTGCATGTATTATATTATTGTGATTTTCCCCATCCTCCACTATAGAATACACAGATGCATTGAGGACTAATCTAGCATATCTGTGTATCTCTCTATTTTTAATTTATAGGACTATCTGACAGTAGGTAGTGAAAACTGATTGCTGTTATTCACTAGTATTACTTTCTTAATTTTTTTTATTTGGTGTTTTGCTATTTCATTTTCCCTTGCAGCAGTCTTTGATCTTTGTAACAGTTAGAATTTTTGCTTAAGTCTTCATATAAGTTTTTTAGAAATTTTTCTGAACTACAGCATACAAGCATGTTTTTGTATTAGTCTGCCAGAGATGCAACTTCTGGATATATATCCACTTCTAATAACTGTCAAAGTAGTAAGAGTTCTGCTCTCAAACAAACGTGAAATTTCCAGTAGTGCCAGACTGTTCAAATACTGCTATTTCCAAATCATAAAGTTCTTGTTAATTTTTGCTAAATTTCTAATGCCTCCTCTTGTTAGAAGCCCTCAGTTAAAAAGTCAGGCTCCAGGAACACATGAAAAAAGAACTTCCACAAACAGAATTCAGGTTTCAGCTGAAGTTACTTACCAGTTCAAAAAAACTGTAAACAGTTGGATTAAATCAGGTTTTTCATGGCCTCAATGGGGATTTAATAATTCAGGTAGATTAATTCACTTTCATGATCCTTCATGGGGCCAGATTAAAATGGAGTCAGGAGAATGAGGGCCCTCACACTTTTATGTTATTTATAACACAGCATACTAAGAAATGAGCAAATCTGCTTGACCACAGTGACATGCAGAATACTTTAGCTTCCCTTAATGGGGACTAAACTTTTCTAAGTTAACCATAGTACTCTTTCTAAATTATGCTTAATTTAAGAGCTGTTGATGGAGGAAAATGATTGAGGTTTTCAAATTTAATTTAAGAAAATATTAAAATAATCTTGTCACTTTCTTTTTTCCACACATTAGAGAGAAAACTTTCTGCATAAAATTATGTTGTTGAATATGCTCCATATCTTATTCTTTGAAAAACTTGTATTTTGAGGCTTGAAATTTGGAATAAAGGTGAATTTGGGAGTGAAACTATCATTTTAAATTTTGTTACTCCTAACATGTGCACATACTGACTAGTAGAGGCATGCTTAAGAATGTTCCCAGTCTTCTCCACCCACATGCCCTCAGGAAACAGCTTGATGGAAGGTTATGTTCATGGAATTGTAAGTGGGTTTTGTTTCTTACTCTGTCTGAAGGTTTCTTCCTGGAATAAAATAGCAAGGTTCTCCAAAACAAGTATGAAATGGTATATAAAATCATCAGCCATGACAATTCTAAAAGTTCTGGGAGGTTCCAAAATTTTGAGTATGTAGTATATTCAGGGACCCTTGTGGGTGCCTTCCAACTCAGAATTTTCTGTGATACCGTTTTATTTTTGTCACTGGTACCATGGTTCTGGAGAAGACAATATGCTCAAATTTTATGCCGTCTGATATTCTTAAGTGACACTTCTAATCTTTTCGGGTTTTTTTCAATCCCTCTGACTTTTAGGGTACAGTGTTATCTTATAGCACTGATTTTCTTCAACTATGTAGAGGAAAGCTATCCCTAAAGAAGCTTAAGTGCAGTATACTGTAAGCAGAAAGGCCTTGCCGTTATGAGAGCATGTAAATGTGCTGAAACATTTGGTAAAAGAATATTATTTTAAAAACATTCTACATGAATATAAGAATACTATTGTGTGAGGTAACTGTTTTAGGAAAGTTCTTCACATTAAAATCCAGGATGTTCCCTTTTTTAATATTACAGTGTTCTAAAGAGCTACTCTGTTGAAACCCTTCTAATGCTTGGTATGGTTCTTACAATGTTTTATAAATTCAATTATTCTATACTGTCATTTCAGCAAACCTGTGATCTTGAAAATGTAAAGCCTGAAACTAAGCGCTATCTAGAGAAATCTGTTCAAGTCGGGAGAAGAAACGGACTCCATCTTCCTAAAGAAGTGCAGAAAGTAAATATGGACTATTTATTTATAAAGCAAAGGTTACAAACGGTTGAAGGGATAAATTTATGGTTGGTTTGCTGTACTAAGCATATATTTGAACTTCATGCTTTTGGACCTGCTGAATTACTGTTCTAATCTTAACTGTTCTTACTTATAGATCCATTCCTTAAACTTTTTAGGTTTAAAGGTTTTTAAACTAGTCTGATAGGCATCCATAATACACAGTAAATAGAGGTGGTCTGCGTCACCTCATAGCCTTGAGACTAAAAGAAGCCTAGCTGAAAAGGTTTTATTATATATTGCAAGTACAGAGAATGCCTAAATCAGATTCCTAGGAAAGAGACCTCTCAAAAAATGTTACAAGTGAGTCTGCACTTCTATTCAAAAGTATGCATAACTGTTGCAAACACACAGCTACACTAGTTTCGGTTAATTGATGTTGTACAACGTGTCCAAGTTTCTAGCATTTCGCCTGAAAAAAAAAAATCAAGGTTGTTTAGAGGAGGAAACAAACTGCTGAAGAATTTTTCTTCATTAAGGGAGAACTTACTTAGAAATGTCAAGTAATTGTCACTTGAGAAATTGTCACTTCAGTAAATCAGGAAGTAAAATTGTCAGCATCTGAGACGCTGTGCCATCCCACCCTTAATGGGAAGGGAGCACCCAAGATTCATATAGATGTTTGTGATTGAAAGGAACAACAAAATCAGAGGATCTGCAAAGACTTCCAAATTTGTATTAGTAAATTATATACTTGGTGTGGAAACTAGTAAGTTAGTCCCTGACCTAGCATAAGCACATGGCAGTGGGTTTTGGATAAAAGAGATAAAGTGAAAGGGAAAAGACAGAGAGATAAATTAATTAAAGAGTGGAAAAGAGAAAGAAGAAAGGGAGAAAGAGAGATCACCATTCATGCCTCCAGCATCAATCCAGCTGCCTAGGTGTCCAGAGTCTGGGAGCACCACTTGGGCTTGGATGGGGATACTGTTTTCTAGATAAGCTTTCCTTGCCCTGGAGAAAAGTTTCTCCACTTACACTTAAAAAGTTTCTTACACTTTCTGTGTAAATTAGTCATCATGCACAGTCTGTTCTTTACACTGTTCTGGAAATGGGTCAGAGGGCTTTGGGGGCCTTTGGTGGTCTTGTTCCCCCTTCTACATTCCAGACCTGTTGCTCAACCTCATTTCTCTGTTTGTGCTGTTCTGAGTTGTGCTTATCTCCAGGAGGTAGATCAAAGACCTTTGTCCTAGAAAAGTGCTGTCCTACCTCCGTATGGCCTCTTGTCCAGTCACATCTTGTTCTTTCTCACAGTGTTACTGCCAACAGTCCTTGGCTGTTACTACCTACAGTCCTTGGCTGATGCCACGGCCACTCTGCTATTGGTGTTTGAGAAAAACACACTAGCCCTTATCTTCTGAGATTCTACAGATGCCAGCATAGTTATCTTCAAATTCTGAGTGATATTTCTGAGGATATTATGACCTTTATTTCAGACTTGAATAGACTTAACCCTTTGTAGAAAGCAATCAATCTTCATCCACATCCTTCCGCTAGTGAGACCTTTTTGATGTGTATTTTCATATAACTGATGCCTGTAAAGGTATTTTGAAATTCCTTGGGGGACAATAGTTGAATTATATTGAGTTTTTTATTTGATGTGCATTCTCTTACTGGTAACTACTATGTTTATTTGAACTTGACAAGAACGTGTAGAAACTTGCTATGAGATATATTAGAAAATGTTTCAGAAATATGACCATCAGGGTTTAAAAATAAGTTTTGGAATGGTTTTGTGTTGTGAGAGGAGCCTCTTCTTTCTGTCATACCATTCCAAAACAATGGTTTTTAGTAGGTTGCATGCTTTTTAACTCCCTTGATTCTCATTGATTTCAGTAGATATTTTTACACTTAAAATTGTAATTCAGCTGTTCAAATAAAAGAAAATAATTGAATGTTAGCACGTGAAACTGTTGAGTGAATGTGTTTAATCTCTTCAGTCCTCTCTAAGCTGAGTTTAAAATATTGGAGCAATAGCCCTTGGCCACAATATTGCTCAGGACCAAAAGAAACATGAAAGGAAGACTGACAGGGGGTGAAGTATGATGCTACCTGCAGTGTGTTATTTGCTCAGTCCTGATATTTACTGTTGGTTAGTAGAGAGCCTATCTGAAAAAAAATGAAATGTTACTCATGTGGAGGATACAAATTGTCAACTTGGTTTTTGTTTTTTCACTAAGTTCAGTTTATACCCAATACAGGAAATAAAGACAATGAAGAAAAAATTGAATGAACTGTGTATAGACTTTAACAAAAACCTGAATGAGGAAAACACATTTCTCATATTCTCTAAGGAAGAGCTTGGTGAGTAGGATGCTTGCTCTTTCTGTTATTTCAGCCTTCTAGTTTTGTTGGAGTAACTGGTTTTTATCCCATGTGTGATGGTTAGATCAAGTGAAATTCTGGCTGTTTTCCTTTTAAGTCCTTCTCCAGAATCAGTTCAGAGTTACCTTTTACACGTGTTCATGGTGTCTTCATACATTTGTGCTTCCTGAGGTTCTTGCCTTGCATCAAGTTAGAATGTTGCTCCTACTTTTTTTAGCATAACTTTACTCTGTTCCTTTCTTAGTTATCATCAAGCAATTCCCTGTGTAATTATTGGAAAAGCTTTTTTAGTCCTACAGTAAACTTTAACTAATTCAGTAATTTAAACCAAGCTAGAGATTTCATGTGACAGAGAATTTGGGGATTCATTATCTGAAGGGCATCACATAAAATGTGCTCTAATAACACAGATTTTTAAATGTTATTCAGCTTTTATCTAGTGGCCTTATATGTATTTCTCTTTTGCTCTCTGGTGTTCCCAAATTTTTTTTGCTTGGTTGAATTGGAAAAATTTTTAGCAAATAGTTGTAAAAAGGGACGTATATTTCTGTGGAGATTTCTGATGTCAAAGTAGATTACAGCAAAAAAAATACAACACTTTCACAAAAACAGAGGGAGCAGATAATTTTGGTAAACATTTTTTATTAAATTGTATTCTATAGATGGCCTTCCTGATGACTTTATTAACAGTTTAGAAAAAACTGAGAAAAACAAATATAAAGTTACCTTAAAGTATCCCCACTATTTTCCTGTTATGAAGAAGTGCTGCATTTCAGAAACCAGGAGAAAAATGGAATCTGCCTTTAACTCGAGATGCAAAGAGGTATGTTGTATACTGGCCGTTCTACAGTGCAGTGACAGAGTTGAAAAACTGAGCTAGACATTCAAATGGTGTGTTTGAGTATTGCACAGTGTAGAGTATTTTGAAATCAAAACTTACCAGCATGCTCTTTAACAGTTCCTTGCTCCAATTTGTTCAGATGTCCTGAGACATTAGAAGGTGATGACCTGACTCTGTGTGCGTGTTTGTATGTATCTTAATGTTCAAGTGGTTCTGTTAATAAAAGTGGGATTTTGATCTTCTGTGAAATTTCCCTACAGTGTTTTACAGATGCTTACTGACACTTTTCTCCCAGAAAAGGATATCTGCTGGTGGCTTCTGTAGTCCTTTGGGATTCTTTGGAATAGAGAAGAGTTATTTAAACGCAGGTTTTAATTTTAAATACTGATGATTAAATGTGAAATTAGCAGATTGCATATGTGCACAGCTAGACAGGTACAAAATTAAAAAGGCATTGAAAGGTAGAGGATATGTCATTCAGACAATTGTACCAACCATGCTTTAGAAACGGTAGCAGAATTGAGCTTTGTGCTTGAAATGCTTGGAAATGTGATGAGTACAAGATAGGATAAAAAGGCACCAGGAACTGAACACTTTGCAAGTCAACACAAATGAAGGGATTTAATTATAAAACTGTGTGACAGTCTTCGAATCTAGTATTTAATTTTTTTTCCCCTGACAAATCTTACTTTTCCAGAACTATAGGTTTACATAGTTATCTTTTCAGGTTCTTGAGGATTCTTCAGCACATTTAGATCAAGGTCTGGGGTTTTCTGTTTCAGATCTTTCTCTGACTGCTATTGTTAGAGTGGCAAAAGAGGAAAATTTGCAAACTAGCTTTGAATGTTGACACAATAGATTAGAAATCTGTCTTCATCACTAACAAGCAATTAAGCCTGCTGTCAGCAATTTCCTTACTGTCTTTCACATGTAAAATGATTGATAAAGGAAATAAACTCTTCACAACCTAAAAGAAAATGCTGTATATTTTGATTAATTAAAAAAGATAAGTTGTTACAATAAGAAGCATAATGAATGAGGTCAACTAGAAAACCAGCTACCTGCAAACACTGAGAAAAAATATTCCAAGAACCTAGCTAAACTTAGGTTATTTTATATTTTAATCTAAAAGTGTTTAATTTGAAATATTTTCTATTTCATAGGATTACAGATATTATTGAGATAATTGTTTTGTTAACATGTGATTTCTGGTTTCATTTTAAAAATTTGCCTGCTTTCTTTTTTAGGAGAACACAAAAATTCTGCAGCAGTTGCTTCCACTAAGGGCAAAAGTAGCTGAACTTCTTGGTTATAATACACATGCCAACTTTGTCCTGGAGGTGAACACTGCCAAGAGCACAGATAACGTAACAACCTTCTTAGGTTTGTTCATATTTATAAGCAATTCTTGTATATTTAACGTAGTAGCATGTCCCCTCAGCCAAGATTAATTTAAATACATAACTGGGTCACAGTGTCCAAGAGGTTTAGCCAGAAAAGGAACTCTTCTGCTTCTGTTCTGGCATATATGTTTTTTAGATCATAGCTGAACAAATGAAGTTGTTCCAAATCAGGAAGCACAAGGCAAAGTCTGGGAATAACTGCATTGTGACAGCCAGTATAAGTGGTGAAACCTTTCTCTGCCCCAAAATGCAGTTACCCTAATTTAGAATTAAAGTATTGTGCAGCTTAAGCAATTTTATCAGTTCAAGAGGCTGCATCAGAATTGCAGCTTTTCGTTCCAAATTTTTTGTGCATCTGTAGCGTTGGCATCTTTTTCTGATACAGCTGCTTTAAGTACAACGAAAGTTTACTGTATGAGATGATGCGGCTTCCATGAGCTGAATTAAAAAATTCTATCTGGAGTGATGGATTAAATCTGGAATTCAAAAACCCTGTAGTGGAATTTGATCTGAAAACAGAGGTATCTTGAAAATTTTAAACATAGTTTATGAATTAATTTAGAATCATCCTGTTGGATGATAACCTACATCTTTGGCTGTAGGGTTAACCTCTGCTTTCTGGTAGCTCCATTGAATAGTATGTGTTCCTTTATTACTGTGTCCTAACACCACTTAGAAGTGTATATTGATGTATCATACAAGTAACACCCCCAAATAAATTAGTACAAAAATAAGGTATGTTTGCTGATAGTGGGGGTTTGGTGTTAATGCTTCAGTAAAGAGGTTCAAATGCCCTCTTTCTAAACCCATAATTTTGTTGCATTTCTCCTGAAATGCTCCTTCATGAGATCAAATCCGTATTTGGCAATACCAATTTCAGTATACTTGATGATTAACGAATACTTGCTTTTGATTTATTATTAAATGTTAGGAATTTTAAGTGTACTTGAAGTATTTTAGAATTTTTTTGTCCATTATATTATTGTAATATTGTGTTTTTTCATTTATTTTGAAGACGGCACACATATGTTAGCAGCTGTTTTTTACAGTATGAGATCAGATATTTTGTGTTCATAAATATTATGCTTCATGGTAATTCTCATAGACGGAGAATATTAATTGTCACTTTTCAATTAGTTCTTTTGATATTTCCTCAGCTACAAGCACGACAGTATGTTTTGCTCTACTTTGTTCCTATCCATGTTTTAAATCAAATGTTCATAAGTTGATCTTACATCTAGGAAGAAGAGCATTCTTTCCTATGACATATTCTGAATTTAGCAAAGTACAAGCTGCAAACAGTATTTCAATAATAAATGCATTTAGTGCATTGCAGCCTTCCTAGAAACAGTAGTGGCAATTCCTAGATTTTACCCTCTACATATCAACAATGAACATTAATGTGAATTCTTAATGAATGAAAAATTTTCTGATAAACCAGAAATACTTACAAGAGAATAAGTACAGAATGTACTGTATGGAAGTGTCACTAAGCTTAAATATTTTGTATTCGCTATGTTTGCTTCATAGTGCTATGATGCCTTCTTGTCCAAGGAAAGTATATTGGAAAAAAATTGAATCATAGACTTTGATGTCCAGAAGCTTTGCTAGTGGAGAAGCCAGCCATCATATAGGCAAGAATTCATGGGTCTCTTGGGTTTTTATAGGGCTTTTATAGCTAGAAGTATTGAATTTTGTGTTCCACTTCCTTCCAGTAACTAACAGTAGTTGTAGTCTTTGGTTGTTACTGAAGAAATGTATGAGGAATACTGAAACTACATGAGGTTAAATCAAAGGATGCAAGCATAAATATCTAGTGTTACTTTTCATTTATGTCTTGGAAAAAGTGTAAATTTACTAAAACTCTTCACACCACTCTTAGGCCTACATGGAATACTGTATAATTTATAGCATACCTGCAATTAAGACTTCTTAGGACAAGAAAACAGATGTTGCTTGCTGTTGGTGAATGAGTCGAAACACCCATTTCTGGAGTATGTGCTTGAAGTGTTGAGTGTTTATATAGGAATAGATAAGGAGCATGGAACTTGACTCCAAGGCAATCTTTCTTTCAGATGATTTGAGTAAAAAGCTAACGCCTTTGGTTGAGGAAGAAAGACAATTCATTCTAGATCTGAAGAAGAAGGAATGTAGAGAAAGAAACTTTGATTATGATGGAAGAATCAATGCATGGGATCTTCATTATTATATGAGCAAAACTGAAGAGCTGAAGTACTCCATAGATCAAGAAAAACTGAAGGAATACTTCCCAATTGAGGCTGTTACAGAAGGCTTACTGAATATTTACCAGAAGCTGCTAGGACTTGAATTTGAGCAAATAGAAAGCGCTCATGTTTGGCACGACAGTGTTACTCTTTATACAGTAAAGGATAAATCAACCGGAGAAATGCTAGGACAGTTCTATTTAGATCTTTACCCCAGGTAATGAACTCAGTGTTTTGCTTACATGTTTAAAATGGGATTTGTCTTAATGGGTTGCTGCTTGTTTAGTTAAAATTAAATGCATTTGGAAGTAAATATTTGTTCCACTGACAAGATTAATGCTGTGTTTATTAAGTTGTCCTCTGCACTGTGTTCAGATTTTTTTACACTTTTTTTTAAGTACTTCCATATTTCTTGCTTATATTCATTTTATGAAGCATTGCTACTTCATTCATGTTTTTGGTACTACTGTTCTCTAGTCAGTTGTCTATAATTTTTTGCATCTGTGGACTTTTCTCCTTCCTAACTTACTACTGGGTTTTAATTTTCATTTCTGTTGAAGTGTTACTGCAGCCTGCTCAGATCAGTTATATTTGTCTGCTAAGAGTTCCTAGTTTCTCTCAGTTCCTTTTTACACTTGATGTGTTTTCTACCTTGTTGTCTAGACTGCTAAATTAAATAGATCAATATCAAGAATAGATTCCTGTTGAGCGCACATTCCAATTTACTTCCTTGTTGATCTCTGCAGCTCTCCAGCTGTTTTTGTAGCTATTTACATTTGTTTTGTAGCTATTTATCATCTGTGTTTTGTCAAAGATCAGGAGACTAGACTGGTTTGACAGGATTTATTCTGAGCTAGTCCTTTTTGGCTATTTGTCACTGGTTTTTCATTTGCTTTGGTGTAAGGTTTTTTAGATTAGTATTTAGCATTTTATAAATTTGCTGACATTCACTTTTAAAGTAAGTTGATTTAAGGTTTTCTGGCCTAAGAAAATTAGGTTACTCAATATATAGAGTAGTACATAAATTATTCTTTTTACTGTATCATACCTATCTCTTTCATCTGTTCACCTGCTTCCACCTTTATGTACATCATGCATATTGCTAAAGATATGTGTCAGTAGGACTCCTCTGACTTAATCTGAGTAGCTAACTGAGTAGTTTAGGGCAAGATTTTAAAAATAATTTTTCTTTAAACTCTTGCATCACAGTGAAAATGAAGTGTACTATATTCTTTTGTCTCCTGTAATAAAAAAAAATTATATCAGAGAATAGAATCTAGTTCTTCCTGTTGCAGTAGCAGTTTAAAACACAGGTGACATCTGAAGTATATAATACTTTCAGCATTTCAATAATAAAAAAAATCTTGGAAATGCTACTGGGAATCTTGAAATTTTATGATTTTAGTGTGAGAGTAGAAGGGACTTTTTTCCCCCTTGTGCTCTTAACTTACTGAGTCTTAGAAGTCATAAAAGATGTACATTTTTTGTGTAAAACTTTGTGTAGAGACACTGACTAAATGTCCCTGTTCTTGAATAAGCTCCACCATTCTGGTGAGCAGGCTTGTGGTTTGAAGATAGTGTCTGATGTATTTTCTTACACAGAGAGGGAAAGTATGGGCATGCAGCGTGCTTTGGTCTACAACCCGGCTGTCTCCTGTCTGATGGCAGCAGATTGATGTCTGTAGCTGCTCTGGTCACCAACTTCACAAAGCCAGCATCAGATCATCCCTCCTTACTGCGACATGATGAAGTGAAGACTTACTTCCATGAATTTGGTCACGTAATGCATCAGATATGTGCACAGGTTTGTGATGTTTCTATTCCAGTGTAAGACTTATTTCTTTCTCCACTCTCTCAAAGCAAGGTATAGTTCAGTTTTGGTGGTTTCTAATTTTAATAAAGCACATATGCAGAGTTCTGGTTATTTTTTTGAAGTATCAGGTTGGTTTTTGTTCTAATATTATTTAAAACTGAAACAATAAATATACCTTCTTACATAACATTACCTTCTTAAATAACATTTTCGTAGGAACATGTACTTTCGCATTTGCATCGTGCAGGAGTCTATTCACTCATCACAGGCACAGGTAAAGTGAAGAAGATGCTCAGTTGTGGCTTTGTTCAGACAGCTTTTTATTACTTCTAGTTTTGTAGAAGTATGATATTAGAAACCAGATATTAGAGACAAAAAAAGGTTGCTATACCTAGGAATGAAAATAATTTCTGAAGCAAAATGGCATTTTGGCATTTAGTTGAGACCTATCACTCTTGACATCACAAGCATAAGACAAGTCTTGCCTAAGCTATTTTATTTTTCCCTATCTGACAGGTTAGGTGTATTGCAGTGACCAGAAAGAACTGAAGGTAGTTTCAGATTTTCCATCAAGGTACCAATAAAGTTGTAAAATTTCTGTTTTCATTTTTATTTACATGTAAAATTGATACTGCCAGATGATAAATTTATTATTAGCCTAATTAAAATGCTCTATGACAAAAAGAGATGGTGTCAGTATTCATGCACCAAAAATTCACATAGTTATCTACAAATTCAGATTTTGTGTAGCACTTCCTTCATCTTCTTTATAAACAAATACAAAATAATAAAGTCAAGGAAAACTGAGCCACATTCGATTTTAATTCTTGATCATGATCCTAGAGACCGGGACTGTAGAATAAAGAAACAACAATTTTATCACAGAAATCTACATATTAAATCCAGAGTTAATAAGTGGGTAGATTTGCTTAGATATTTTTTAATAATCTTAAACATAAAAATATTATTTTATCATTTTCACCCTGTGATAGGCGTTTCTGATACCGAAACCTGAGGAATAAAACCTAGGCAATATAGAAGGTGTTTGTAAAAAACGCATTTGGCATTGGTATAAAACAGTACAAAAATGACTGCAGCATTTTGACAGCAAGTGAGGATGTGCCATGGTGTTTTGGAGTCCTTTCGAGGCAGCCGAAGCCAACAATTCCAATGCACATGAACTTCTGTTGCTCTGGCATTGCACACATCAGAGAGGCCTGCTTTCCAGTTGTCTCTCACAAAATGCTCTGGCGTTTTCTGTGCACCCAGCTGCCCTGCTCACCTCTCCTGTATTGTGTGTAAATAGCTATTTGCATGTGTGCAAACTTGCTAGTCCCACGTGAGAACATCCTGTCCTCTGGAATTCATGTGTACAAAGCATTGTCTTGTTTCATATGATGATTTCTTTAAGCATGTTAAGACTTGACAGTTAAATGCTGTGCAAGGATGAGACTGGGAGGGATTTGTTAGCTGCTGGTAAAAGTGATACTTTATGTGATATACTGGAAAAGTGAGATATACTGTTGGAGAGTGAGATCAGGGCAGGGAGGTAATTTGTTCGTTTTGTTCAGGAAAGAGAGCTCTTGAAGTAACTTCTACCAAATGTCTTTATGATTTTTGTTTGTGTGGTGCACTTGGGTATGGGTAAATGAAGATACCTGAAGGCCACTTGCTTTTTACTCTATCCACTTCTATCACCATTTCTTCCCTGAAGAAATGCTTCCTAGCTTTTCTTCAGAGCTGTTATTCAGCAAGGACAGTAAGAAGGGCCAGCCTACAACTATGGATGTGAACAGCCTGCAAGAGTAGACGAAAGTTTTACTCCCTTTGTGTTGTTCTTATGAAGACGTGAGAGGAAGACATATGTGACACAAATGTAACTTCAAGGTTATGTCCTGTATTATACATGCTTTTTTTGGTAACCCTGCAAAAAAGTAAGTTCAAAAGCCTGGAATCCTGTAAGGATTTATTTCCCCGTGGAGGATGGACTGTAAGAATATCAACACATCCTAGAGAAGACAATTGAGAATTCTTTTTCTTTAGAACTTAAAATGTTTTGTTAGTATGTTGCTGAGAAGGGAAAAAAAAATGGGATGGCAAGAGGAGGTAGACTTATTACATAAAACAAGGGTGGAGTGATGGTAAGAAAATTCTTCAGAAGGGTCTGGGCAGGCTGGATCATGGCTGAGGCCAATGGTGTGAGGTTCAACAAAGCCCAGTGCTGGGTCCTGCCCTCGGGTCACAACAACCCCAGGCAGTGCCACAGGCTGGCACAGAGTGGCTGGAAAGGACCTGGGGGTGCTGGTGCCAGTGACTGACCATGAGCCAGGGTGTGCCCAGGTGGCCAAGAAGGCCAATGGCATCCTGGGCTGGATCAGCAATAGTGTGGCCAGCAGGAGCAGGGCAGGGATTGTCCCCCTGTGCTGGGCACTGCTGAGGCCACACCTCGAATGCTGTGTCCAGTTCTGGGCCTCTCAATTCATAAAGGAAATTGAGGTGCTGGAGGGAGTCCAGAGAAGGGCCACAGATCTGGGGAAGGGTCTGGAGCAGAAGTCCTGGGAGGAGTGGCTGAGGGAGCTCAGGGTATTTAGCATGGAGAAAAGAAAGATCAGGGGGACTTTATTGCTCTTTACAACTGCCTGAAAAGAGGTTGTTGCCAGATGGGGGCCAGCTTCTTCTTCCAGGAAATCAATGACAGTTCAAGAGGAAATGGCTCAAGTTGCATCTGGGAAGGTTTAGATTAGCTGTTAGGAATTTTTTTTCTGTGAAAGAGAAAATCTTTGAAATGGCCTAGGGAAATGGTGGAGTCAACATCTCTGGAAGCATTAAAAAAAGTGTGGATATGATACTTGAGGACATAGGTTAAGAGCTTAATGGTGAACATGGTGGTGATGCTGTATTGGTGGTTGTACTTCATAATCTTAAAAGTATTTTCCAGCCTTTATGATGCTATGATTCTATGAGAGACCGAGTAATTTCTGTGTATTTGAATAACTACCTTTCAGAGATGACTTCTTAGAAACATTTGGATTTGGAGTATATTTTAATGAAGATTCTTTACTGTACTTTTCTTCAAAATTGGTATTGGGAGAGCTTCTTAAAGATGAAGTTATTGCTGATAATAAATTTTTTTAAAAGTTCTAATGTGCTTGAAGAAAGATTATTTTATCAAAGTATCCGATTTGAAAATTTTTCATGGATAAGGTTGCTAGGATTTATTTATTTCAGTCCATCTATTACAGGTTTTAAAAATAGTGCTATATGTTAACCACATATATTAAAAATTATGACAAATATGACAAAGCTTAATAAAGTAAAGTTAAAAAGAAAAGTTATGTAAAAATAAAAAAGTTAAGTAAAAATAAAGTTAAATAAAGTCTGTGAATCAGTGTGGTAGACTGCAATACAATAAACTTTTAAAAGTGCATAGTTAGAGTTTATTATTTTACCTTGGGGTAATACAACAAAAATCTATAATAATTTACAAATGGTATAATTGACAGCATGAAAACGTTTGTATTGTGTTATAATCTAAAAGGTGAAAATCAGTAATACGAAAAAATTGAAGTACTGGTCTAAACCAGTAGATAATGCAGTATATAACTGCTGAGTTTTCTACTTGATTCCTTGATAATAGTCTTATGTCTGACTTTTTCCTCCTTTCTTTAAATTTAATTTTAAAGTTATTATTATTGTTTTTATTATTGATCTGTTCAAATTATTCCTTTTCCTGTGATTTAAACTTTTGACATCTGAAATGTTACATTCTGCTAAAAATCTTGGCTTCTATTTTAATTTAATTCAATGGCTTTTTATTTTCTAGACTGATTTTGCAAGGTTTAGTGGAACTAATGTGGAAACAGATTTTGTGGAGGTACCTTCACAAATGTTTGAGAACTGGGTGTGGGAAAAAGAACCACTACAGCAGATGTCAAGACATTATAAAGATGCAACCCATGTTGGAGACACTCTCCTGGAGAAACTTGCTGCCTCTAGACTTGCTAATACAGGTATCACTCTGTCTTTTCTCCCCACAGTATATGTATAAAAGTATATAATTTTAAAAGCTGACAAACATAACAGCCCTATTAAATTTCTTGCATCTGTATACTTACCCCTGTCTTTCTGGGTTTAATTGTATGGGTACCCCACTAAAAAAGGCTATGGTGACAGATAGAACTCTTTGCAGGAGCAGTAGCAGCTCTGATTTTTCCAGGCCACCTACGGGACTAAAATACCTCTCCTCTCCATGTAAATTTTTTACCTATAAGCTTTTTTCATTTAAAATTGATGGTGTGTGGTGGGTAGAGGAGGGTAGTCTGATTTGGTCTGTTTTTTGGAGTGGTATGGTTTTACGGAATGCATAATTTTATTATGTACTGCAGAACAGACACTGTGCAAGACGCAGTATACCTTCATGTATTGTCTACATTTGATTTGCATGCAACACTTAACAGATATGAAAGTTATTTGCAAATTTGCTGAACAGACATAACATATCGCAGACAACATTGCTGTAGACCTTATACGTACCTCCAAACTAACATTATAATCTCACATCATTATCTATCATGTCATTATTACTCTATCACTCTCACCTCTTTATTCTTGTAATCAGAGCTTCCAATTCGTGGTACCAATTCATCAGTAAGCCACTCCTGTTTATTTCATACTGCTTTCCTATCCTGAGCAAGAAGTCTTTGTCCTTGTGGCTTGTACAGACTGTAGCTGAATAGGTATTTTGTCTGAGTAAAGGTTCATATCTTGTCGCTTCTTTTAAAAAGCTTAAATTAAAATTTGCTTTTAAAATATCTGCTTGATTTTAGTTTTGATCTGAGAGAAGAGTAATATTCAAGAAGAGGGAGCTTAGCATGATAACTCCTTTATTAAAACTATGCTTCTCAACTCTTTGTAAGTGAAGTAATTCAGATGGAAATGATGCAACTCCACAATTCTAATAATTTAGTATCCATGTTGAGATCTTTGAAGGAAAGAAGCAAATGAAACTCCAGCTATTTTTGTGCTGGTTAATTAAATGTTTTTTACCCAATTAGGCCTTCTAACTCTCCGTCAGATTGTTTTAAGCAAAGTTGACCAGGCACTGCATACAAGGCTGTCTGTTGACCCAGCAGATGAATATGCTAAATACTGTATGGAGATTCTAGGAATTCCTGCCACCCCAGGTATGTCAGTATGAAGCTTTTAGACAGCGTGCCCAAATGGTTCAATTTAACATGCCTTTCTTTCTCAATAATGCTTGGCATGCAAAAAACTGAGTTGTTTATGGAATAATTTACTTTAGGAAGCTGAAATAATTATTTTGAAATTTAGGATGATCTTAATGATATCTTCTGAAGGAAGATTAAGGTAAATATAAAACTTAGCCTTTTGCAGGATATATATTGGAGTGACATGATGTGAAGTCCACTTTAAATGTTCTGTCACATCTGTGCTGGATGTACAAGTAGCCTAAAATGGGGAAATTTATTTTCTTTTGTTTTCAGGAGATTATGTTCAAAAATTTGAGGCATACTCAGACCTTTTATGCTAAATGTTTCAAAGTAGCTTATATAAATTCCTTATTAATTTATTGCTGAAGTACTGTATGCATCAAAGAAATAACTGTATTTTTTTTCAGTAACTTGATGTTAATCTGCTTTTCAAGGAACAAACATGCCAGCTACTTTTGGACATTTAGCAGGTGGTTATGATGGTCAATACTATGGATATCTGTGGAGTGAAGTGTTTTCCATGGATATCTTCTATAGCTGCTTTAAGCAAGAAGGAATAATGAATCCAAAGGTAGGTGATGAATATTTTTTGATAAATTCTTGTGTTGCACTTTGTCTCTGAAACCACATTTATTGCCATCATCCCTAAGTATAATGTCTCAAGTACGACTTCTGTACCTGTCAAGTTCAGATCAACAACAAAAAAGGTGTAAAAGTAACTTTAAGAAAACCATCTTAAAATTTCCAAGAACACTTAGATTTTAATACAATTCTTACATCACCATATATTTTATACTGTAGTACTTTTAAGATGTTGTGTTGCCTTGTCTAATGCCTTCCTCTGTAATTTTAGACTGGAAAAACATTCCTCCAGTGCAAGAGCAGATGTATATTCATCTGCTGTGAAACCTGTATGATAGTGGTGCTCTGTTGATTCTACATTTCCATTACATTCTGTGTACCTCAACTATGTGGTCCTTTTATTTAGTTACTATTTTAAAAGCTGAATTTATTTTGAGCTTTCTCTGTCACAACAGCATAATGTGAAAGTTTTTTTTTCTTCAGTTTAAATCCTGGATCCATTTTGAAGTCCAGATCATGAAGAGGTTCTAGATTTACTGGGTCTTTTTTTCCCTAGCGTTATTCTCCAGCCTCTTCTGCCTCCAGCAGAAAAAAAGGATGATTAGTGTGGTTAGTAGCCAATTTTAGCAGTGTTTTTCAGAGATTATAGTATTAGACTTGAGTTGAGGTGTTGCAGATGAGATAGATGAGTTCTTTCATGGGAAAGACCTTTTGGGTGTCCTGGTCCCAAATCAAATCCAAGATGGATCCTGGTCATGAGTCTTCACACTTTCATAAGTCTTGGTTCATCTGCAAATTGGGGTCAATTATCTAAGCACAGCTCCAGGCTATGAAGTCTCAGCCCTCTGGCTTGCCCCCTTCCCTTAGCCATTGTTTCTGCTTTTTGGGTAATAGTTGTCCTTGATTCTCTAGCTAGGAAGGGATTGTTTTGTCTAACCACCCTGTGAAGAGAACTTACTAACACCTAATACAAAGTTTCAGAGTTGCACACTAAGCAGCAGAGGTTCTGAAAGATATAGAAGCTAAAACCTAAGGCATCATTTTCACTGTAACACTTCATGTGAATCTGATACAACTTCAGGGATAGCTGTGGTGATTTTTTCTCTCCCTCTTCAATGCTATCTTTTCAAATTAGTTCTCTTTTAACCCAAATAAGTATGATAACATCCCACAGAATGGGGCAAACAATTTTTTATAAACAAATAATAGATACCAGTGTGGTTTTTGTAGTTACTTCTGCTTCATTATATCTAGATTTAGACTAGTCTTGAGATCAGCAGAAAAGAAAAATGGTTCAAGTATTATAACTAGGCCATATAGAAATTTGGCTTACTTCTTCCTTTTTGAATTGAACGTCTCCTGTTTTGAGCAACAGTTATACAAAGAAAAAGGCAGAAGCGAGCAAGCAGGCAAGCAAGCAGGCAAGCAAGCAGGCAAGCAATTTCAGAGACTGAATGTATTAAAATACTTCCACAAACAATTAACTGTAACTTACTTGGTAGCCAAACTCCTCAATTCTTGCACATTATCTGAACTAACCACTTGTCTCCCTAGAAGTGAGCAGTATTCTGGCTATGAAAGGATAACAACAAAGATTCAAGTCTACTCAAAAAATACTTATAAACTACAAGGAACAGTATATTAATTTGCTGCTGTTGTTCAGCAGACTAACAAAAATAGTGAAATGTGACCAACGCTTTAGTGATTCTTTTTAATACATTTTTGTTTTGGTTTGGGTTTTTTTTAGACTTTTCCAGCTGTAATTCGGATAATGCAAATGGTAGTTCAATTAAGTCATGGAAATCAAAGACTTAAAAACATCTTTGCTTGTTTTTACAGTATAGTCATGTCTTAGTTTGAAAGACAGGTGTCCACCAAGGAAGGCAGGAACCTCCCTTGGAATTGAGGATATGACCCCCTTCCCTCCAAATTATTGTAAATTTGAAACTAAGGTGCTTTCAGGCAAAGAAATGGGGGAAGGAATAACAGTTCTTTACTGGTATGTGTGTGTATAACAAGGCAGACAAACAACAACAACCACCAAAACCCCGGAAACCCCAACTGAGGCTCTCCCTCCTCCCTGCAGTTTAATCCATTGCCCTTGGTGCAGTTCCGGGCACGGCCAGCACGGGGCGCTGCTGCTGCCCGGGCAGGGCGGGGGCGGTGATTCCTCCGCGCCGGCAGGGGGCGCTGTGCGCAGGGCTCGGGCAGCACGCGGTGATGGCGGCCGGGCCCAGGCGGGAAGTGCGAGCGGCAGCTGGTCCCGATTGGCGGGCTCCTGCATAAACATGGCCCGTACGGGGACATCTCACAAAAAAAAAGAATTAATCAGGCTTGTAGTGCAGGGAAACCGCAGCAGACTGGGGTGTCAGAGTTTAACACACAGCAGAGGGTCTGGGGAGAGCCGGTCCCAATGTTTCGGCACCACACGCACCGGATCTGAGCTCCAAGCGGTCAGGCTGCAGAGAAAACGGGAAACAGCTCTATCTGAACCCGAACCCAAAACCAGACTGACCAAAAATCCAGCCCCAAACCTCCAGGCCCCCCTCACCTTTTCACTGTGTTGTCAGAAATAGCCCCAGCCAGGGCCATTTCAATGGAATGTTGTGACACAAAGCTCCATCTTTTGTTTTCTTAAGTACTGGTGGTTAATATTTCCTAGCAACCTATGGGACAAAATTCCATGAGAGAAAGAAACAAAAGGAAAAATCCTAACCCCCAACAAGTCATGAGGAAGCAATGTGGTCTTGTTGTGTGGGGAAATGTGTATGTGTATATACACTGACTAGAAGGAAGAACATTGTCTTCTTCAGTATCAGAAGCATTTGGGACATGTGCATGCAAAATAGCATTTTCTCATTTGTAGTCATGTCTCAGAAACCCATAATTCTCAAGATATATACATTCTCTAAAATACAATTTCTTGTTAAAAAACTCCTCATTACTTGTTTTCTCAGAAACGTCATTATTTTTTTTAAAGGAATCCATTCTTTCTGAAGCAATAATGTTTCTTCCTGAAATTAAGACCTAAGTCTCATTTTCTCTAAGATAATTTAATAAGTGGGTTAGATGTGTTGGTAAGTATGATATGTACAACCATGTGTATTATATGAGTGTAAGTGCCACGCTATTCCACAATGCTGTACCTATCTTTTATCTCTGAAGTATTGTTAATCTCTGTTTGGATAATAGAGACTAAAGAAAGAGAAATCATCAGTTAGAGAAAGGATGTTGGGTTCCCTCTTCCTGCCTGTCAGTCACAGCAGTAATCCTTCACTGAAGATTTTGAGGAGGTTGTGTGTTTATGCTTCATAGAATGTCTTCAGACAAGTTGTGATTGTAGCTGCAAAACCAGAGTAAAACCACAAGAAAAATAAATTCTTTAAAACTGGTCAAATTTCTGCTCTCTTGAGGTCTTCTGGCAGATCTAAATTATACTTGTGATATATCCTGGTATATCGTTATTTGGTATTAGGAAAATCTGGAAGGAGGAAAGTTGTTTTATCCTGAATAGATTTTTAAATATGCAACAAATACGGAAAAAGGGGCAATGGACAAGATAAGAAATACTAACAGTCTGCTTTACCTTCTGTCAGGCTGGGATGAAATACAGAAACCTCATTTTGAAACCTGGAGGATCTTTGGATGGAATGGATATGCTACAAAATTTCTTGGAGCGTAAACCAAGCCAGAGAGCTTTCCTATTGAGTAAGGGATTATGTGTTCAGTAAAGTTCTGATTCTTTTGTAATGGCATATAAGTATGGAATGAGCTGGAAATGTAGTGTATTTCACATTTTAACTATGTATCACTCTAGGGAAACTGGGTCATTTTTTGATGATTTTTTAAATTGTATAGATAAAAATGTGACTTTTAAAACAAAATTTCATAGGACTACAAAATTCAATGCATCAGGGAAAAAATTCTGAGATGCGCAGAAGCTGAGGAATTTGGATGGTAATTCTTAAAAATTGTTATGAAATAATACTAATTAATACTAATCAATATGAGGAGTTAATGCCATGTTTCTCTTTTAAGAGATGCACTTAAATTGTGTCTTGTGAATTAATTTTAAAACTGAAGGGGATAAAAAGAATACAACCAGCAATAAATGAAACAGATTCATTCTTATTCTCTATTGTATTGATAGCTTACCAGTGTCTCTGATGGATAGGAAGTGTGTTTGATTTTGTCACTGTTTTAATTCAGTCCAGCTACCTGATAAATTTCAAGACGGAGAAGCTGCCCCAGATGCCTCTGCAGCAGAGATGTTTGTGTGATACTTTTAGACCTAATTCTGATACATGTTAAATTTTTGTACCATTTATATACTTACATAGTATAATTAAAAAGGGAAAAATCAGCCAAAATGTGTGACTTTTTAGTTATTCCACCACTCTTTCTGTTGATGACCATAAATCAGGTATTTGTTTCTCAAATTATATCAACACTGACATTGAAATACTGTACTTGAGCAATTATAATGGCTTCAGTTGGTTTCTTAAATATTTTGAAATACAAATAAGGAAGGAAGGAAATAAGATAAAGCTGATGGGAATGATAAAAGCCAATTAAAAGTCTTCCTGTTCCTTTCCAGTGTGGCATGCAGAGATGTTACAAGAAAGTGCAATAGATTTAATGATTTCAGCTGTTGGAGTGTGAAAATAATGGAGGAATTTTCTGCAATGTTTTCTGTAAAATCAGGAAAAACTAGTCTTACAAGCCAACTCTACACCATCCAAATAAAGCTGCTAATCCAAGTGCACTTTTCTTGCTTTAGGTACCACGTCTTACTGTGGTTTTACTATTACAGTTTATTCACTAGCCAATACATTTTAGACGTTTGAACCACAGTTGTAAACATGGTAGGGATCTGTAGTTTTTTGTTCAACAGTGAGATAAGAAAATATGCCTGGCCAACTCTAAAGACTCTTTTTTCAGCCAAAGAAAACTGATGTCATTCAGTTTGGGTCAAAGCTGTCCATTTGTTTTAGGGGGAAAAAACCTGAAATTGTTCTCACAATTTGTGAGTGTTTCTCAAAGAGAGGAGCTTTATTTTTTTGCCTTCTTTTAATTTTAAAGTATTGAAACTGGGAAGGTAAAAATGAGCTTAATTAGTTTCTGAAATTGAAGATCTGAACGGACATATCTTTGAATTGCACCAGTTAGATGTGAGGAGTCATAACTATTTGTAGCCAAAACAGATTAAATCTACAGTCTTACCAGACCACACAATTAAGTCAAATCTAACCCTTATAGTCAGTTACAATTTCAGGCCACAGTTCTGCTGGATCGTGAAAAAGCAATACGTGGAAATCACATGCATGAGAACATCTTGAAAAGTATTCAACGTGGCCAGAATGGAAAGCTGAGAAAACTGATGGATACAAGATTATCCCAAAACCTATGAATTTTGCCTGGATTGATTTTCTTTGCATTCTTTTGCTTACAGTATTTTTCCCTTTTTTACATGTTTAAAATTCTTGTGATTCTATCTTATCAACATGGTTTTTTCTTTCACACTGTAATGATAGGTCCGAATAATGAAAACATTGTAAAAAATATGGAAGTGATACTTTTCCCAAATGAATCTTCAAATCTAAGCAATGGAACCTTTATTAAGAAGCAAAATGTAGTTTTTATTTTACAGTTGGTAGGCAAATTTCCACATGAGGGAGACCTTTCTCTGCATAAATCAGCAGTCTTGGATCGAGGTAGATAATTGTAAGCATAGTAATTATAGACAAAAATATGTGGAGATAAAAAGTCATGTGGTGATTTGAAAGTTAGATTTAGAACAGTACTGATGGTAATTACAACAATTTAATTGACTTTTAATTTTTCTTACTCTTTAGCGTGTGCGCGTTTTGTGTTGTACAACGTTGAGTAGCCAAGATACTGAGGCATGGGAGAATGTCTTCTATTACTTGTGTGTGAAAATGCCTGCATGATTGTACAGTTATATTAGCAGCAAACGGATATCCATGTGTGTAGGGAGGAAAAAACTAAACCATATCGTAACCACAAGTGAAAGCGTTATGTTCTATATCTGTTCCAAAAGAATAGAATTTAATGTCATTTGTTTTTGTAGAAGCCAGTTCCTTCATCGGCAGTAATTAGGTCAGATCAGCCTCTGGCTAGCACTGCATTCAACACAGAAAGCTAATGGGTATGTTCTGAAGTGCTTATGAAAATCTTAATGGGGTAAGGTACCAAACTTGTCTACTAAGCTTTATATTGGTTTCCTGGAGCCTTCTGAATTAAATTGGGGTTGGATTAAATTACTTACTATCTTCCAACTAAAACTTATTCTATGATTCTAAGAAATTGATGTTCACATTTTTATTCTAAAAACCAGATCTTGGAATGGAAAAGTAACCTGGGTAAAGACGTCTTTTCTGTTTCTGCACCTGTCTATAATAGGCATAAAACATTGAACAGGAAAAACTCTTTCTGACACTATTCAAAGGCTGTGACGTGGAGTACCCCAATAAAACAGAGAACACTTCTGCTTTGCAGACATGAGCTGGCAACCTTGACACTTCCAGAAACAATCACATATATGAAACCATGCCAAAATATCTGACAAAATCCAGCTTATTCTAGAGTTGCTAGTCTTATGCTTCCCCTGAATTAAATTTCAAAACTATGAAAGCCTGAGTTTATTCCAACCCAACTTTAAGTATTCACTGTAATAAATGAGGAAGTAATTTGTAGGTTTTGTCTGTAACAAACAGACACCTTTTAAAGTAAGTGTTATATCTTCTTGAAATTTCACTGTGTTTAGAATTATTATTTTCTTGTATTAAAAATTCAAATTGAACTTTGGCTTCACAACAAAAGATTCACAGGAAAGGGAAAAGGTAAAATCAGAGACTCAGGAGAGGGTGCCTATCCACTTGCCACTAAGCAAGTAGATAACAGTCGCTTTCTCTCTCTGTTGCTTCACCATAAAGGTTAGAGTGGTTTGAGCATGTGGCTGGGTTACAAGATGGCTAAGTGATGGCCTCAGCAGCCACTGCTGCCTGCTTGTCTGACATTGGTCCAGCATGATGGCTCTGTCTGGATTGCCTACAAGCCATGTGGTAATTTTTACATAAATGGCAAAAACAGTCTGAGTAAGAGGTTTAAACTTTGTGAGATGTAGTGGCTATTAGTTGTTACTCTTCTCTCTGAAAAAATGAAACTATATCCAAATACTTTTGGAGGTAGTGCAAGGTAGTTAAATTGAGATTCCTGGAGGGATTTTCCAGAAGCATAACAGCTGTTTGCATGATAAATTATTACTAATAGGGGCTAGAGAGGCTAGACATCAGCTGGTTGTGTGGTACCCACGTCGGAGGAAAAGGAAGGAAAGCAGTTAGATGGAAGGATGAAGTGGAAGAAGGGTGTTTGACAATAGTTGTAGAAGGGTTGAAGTGGATGTCAGAGGCAGATAGCAGGAAAAGGACTAACTTGATGGATACTGATTTGTGAAAGGCTGGTTAAATGTTTTTCATTGTTTTATGAATTAGAAACAAGACATGCTTTTCTATGAATAAATTATGTTCTTACTTGCAAGCCAAAGAACATGAAACTATGAACTATCTTGTTACTTGAGAACTTGACTTCTTCCTGACATCTGGGGATTAATATTTTTTTCACCACTATTTTCTTCGTTAATATCTTTTAATTAATGGATTTTCGTGGTGGAAGGAAAGAAGTTTTTGGGGAAGTTCAGTTTGTGGGGCACGTGTTGGAAATCCTGTATAGCTAATCATCACTGGTCTGTGTAAAAAGTGCAGATGATACTAAAGATGTGGTCCCAAACAACCGTCAATCTATTTTAGACCTCATTAAGACAGATGAAGACAAATTAAGTAAACGAATTGGAAGTAAGTGGTTGCCTAGAAACCAAGAATCATGACCTAATTTTGTTCAGTATTGATTAACAGAGAATAGACTCAACCAATACTTGCTTGCTTTGTACTCGTGATGAATTGAAAAGGTTAAGAATCTCAATGTTAAGAGAATCAAGGAGTAAAATTATTGAGAAAAAAATTGTGAATGAAAAGTTGTATGTCTTTGAGATTCAATTCGCCAAAATCCCACAATTTCACAACTTAAAAATATTTGTGAAAAATTCTGAATAAGAACCAATCTGCTCACCAGTAAAAACAGCAATTAAAAATAAACAAAACAGAAGTGTGTGGTCAGAAGTAGGAAATAGTCATAAAATGAGGAATTTTAAAGTGTTAAAAAATATAAAGAAGGCTAAGCAAAGCAAAGAAAAATGGATATGGAAAATGGAAAAGCATTGTAGCAAATAATATGTATAACTTAATGTGTTAAGAATAAATACCACTTGTGTTACAGACCTTTCCGTGGATGGAAATGCTAATATGGCAAATGATAAATAACCAAGGCAATTTTAAATTCAGTTCCTCTTCTGCATTTACAAAGAAGCAAGTGATGCAATCATGTCTTATGAGAACAATGGGGTACTTTCCAGTCTATTAAGAGAGGAGCACATTAAGCAATACCTACTAAGAATAATCATTGTGGCATGGGTATGGTTGGATAACTTGTACCCTACAAACAGACAAGAATTAGCGATGAGGAAGTTTTTCCCAGTGCTGTTAATTTTGGCATAACTGGGCATATGCCATTGTGCTAAAACCCTGCTAATGAGTTATAGCCTTCAAAAACCAAATAGGTCACTATTGGTCACATAGTTTAAAATCCAACTTCAGTGAAAAAGCAGGAAGTCATTAATATGGTTCTGTTGCTGAAGAACTAAGCGTGAGTATATTTTATCCAGTGCAAATGATTTTATGAAAAACAAGATTTTTCAGACAAGCCTGATGTAATCATTTATGACAATCACAAGCCTGTTGATTTATATATTTGGTTTAGTGCTGCATATTTTCATTTAAAATAACACTATATGGTGTCAATAGAGGATATATAAAATGGATTAAGAACAGCTAATTGTTGAGAGTACTTGTTGGCATAGAATTACCACTGAACAGGGTACAGTGGTCTGAGTGTTTCAGGCATTAAACAGGACTATAAAAATTTAAAATAATAATATAAAATCATTGGTGACAGAATTTGCAAGGAATTGACCAAAAAAAACCAGTTACAATGAATTGTTTAGATTGTTTGAAAGCTCTTGGCATTCTGATGTTGTATTGATGGGCAAAGGAAGATGTAGCATCCTGTAGCAACCAAAATGTAGGTTAAAACTAAAGCTTAGAGGACTGTGTTCTGTAAATTCCTGACTTCTGAAAGTATCTAGAGCCTAGTTACAGTAGCCAGTTCAATCAGAATTGTTAGGAGACTGTAGCAAGAAATGGTTAGGCACCCGCATGATGGATGAACACAAAAA